CACGTGAATGTGTTCCTCTAAGTCTCCTTAACAATATGGCCAAGTTGCGAAAACAAAGTCAAACAACGTCTATACAACGAAAGGAGACTGCAACCACACAAAAGGTCACACCATCTTGGTCTTCATACCTTCAATTTTTATTAATTTATAAAAAGATTGTGACACTTTCGTCTAGTGTCGCAGGAAGCAAAAGTCGACGATCCGACTTTGGAAATAATTATGCATACAATGCGTTTATATCAGTCTTCCTACCATTATGACCAAGTTGCGAAAACAAGGTCAAACAACTTCTATAATTTGTATTAATTTATAAAAAGATTGTGACACTTTCGTCTAGTGTCGCAGGAAGCAAAAGTCTCTAGACCCATGATGAATTGGAGAGAGGGCTTGATCTCCCATTACAATTGCTACATCTTGTCATTGGACCAGATGGATTGGTGGCAGCAACAACCAGACCCATACCGTCGAAGCTTGAGTAATTTGTCGGATTCACTGACCTCCACAACTTTCATGCTCGAAGTGTAAGTGGGCTTCAATGAGGGTGTTGAGCCACACGAGAAAAGTAGACTCAACTTGTCGGCTCTGTGATGGTCCTGACTATATTCACACTCGTTATACACACCTGTCCAGCCCATCAACTCTACCAAGCACACGTCGAGACTGTGCACTTGCAATCTTGCCTTTCGTCAGGTCATCAAACCTCGACTAAAGTTAAGCTACGTTGTTACTACTTAAAGCTGACTGACGCTTTCTAATCTGATTTACACACGTATTTAGGTACACGCATACTCAAGCATACATGAACCTAAATTTATATGGAGATCTAATTATTAAACAATTATATATATATATATATATATAATTTATTTATATAAAATGTTGTCGTTATGACTATATAGATGTGCATGTGTGGAAGAGCCGATAAGTGTGTCTGACTGCGGTTGAACGCGAATTTTGTGAGATCCAGTTCTGACGATGTCTGTCTGGCATGAGGAACGATAGTTAGAACCACTTCAGCGGAGACAAAAGTATAATTGTCGTTAAGTTTGTCAACCGAAACGTCATAGTAAAATCACAACATGGCAGAAAGTCAGGAATCTGTCGTCATTTTCAGGTAAGCTCGAAGTTCGAACCTTTTCTTCAGACACTTTCACACGCAATAAGTGTGTGTACAACATGGAAAACAGTTAATCCACGTGGTATGACCCAGTTTTCACAACTTGGTCGCATTTTCAGAGAGACCAAGATGAACAACCCATGAACATCCGTGCGAATTTCCAGCGTCGGATCGTGGACTTGATAAATTCCCAGACGTTTGGGGCTAAGAGTGACTAGGCTCACTGACGATGCCGACTATGACGTCGGTTGAAGGTTTGCGAATGTATCGAGTCCACGTCAAAAATGCTGAAAAAAGATATGAAAAAGTTGACAGAGGATGCCGAACAAGGCACGTTCTTCGAGATCGCCCTTAAAGTAGGACAAACTTGTTGAATCAAGATCAAACAACGTCTAATTGTCTACAGGACAAAAGGAGATTGTAAGCATGCTTTTCACACTTTATAGAAAGTTAGCAGCCTGCAATCGTTGGTGTGAGGACCGATAGAGGGTGGTCACTATTTTGATCGTTGTTGAGCTGACTTCCATTTCGAGTGAAAGTGTTGCGTGAAGAGATTCGAAGGTCGGTTCCACCAGAAGATGACGGAAGATTCTTCTTGACCAGCTGTCGATTGGCTCTACTGGAACATTCATGCTGACGCTGTTTTCGAGGCAATCTCCTTCGATTTCAGGAAAAAGTGCTAATATTTCGTCCGTCATCACCGGCGCAAGGTATAATCGTCACAACAAAATGAAAACATCTAATATTACTGATTTACTGGTAGTTTTGATATTCTACTCAAACACGAAAAATTCTAAAATGTACAGAAACTGTCATTTCCTAAGTGTCTAATGAAGAGATTAGTCTTAACTTAGTGTTATTCAAATACTTTTATAATAACGAATCGCAGTTTTGATTATGTTCGTGGTATGATGAACGAAGGCTCATAATTGTTGAGCTTACTTCCATTTCGAGTAAAAGTGGTTGGTGAAGAGATTTGAAGGTCGGTCTCACCAGAAGACGACGGCCGATTTCTCTTTACCAGCTGACGATTGGCTTTACTGAAGATGATTCATGCTGACCCTGTTTCCGAGGCAATCTTCTTCGATTCCGATGAAAAGATGCTAAGCTTTCGTCCTTCATTTCACGAACATCATCAGAGCATCGAGGGTATCAACGTCACAACAAAATTGAAGCTAACGAGTCAAGAAAACTGACCGGCAAATCCCTAAAGTGGTATATATACTCTAATCTGGCCTCTTTGATCAAGTATAAAGTGATTTGGTTAGTTAAGGTCATATATCAACCTGATCAAAGAGGCCAGGTATAGAGTATGTATATCACTTTTAAGGTATTTGCCGGTGAGTTTATGTTAAGAAAAGTTGGTTTTCAAGGAATCTTTTGTTTCTCAACTGTTGAGCTTACTTCGATTTTGAGTGAAAGTGTTGCGTGAAGAGATTCGAAGGTTTGTTCCACCAGAAGACGCGGCCGATTCCTCTTGACCAGGAACATTTATGCTGACGCTGTTTCCGAGGCAATCTCCTTCGATTCCGGTGAACCCGTGCTGAGCTTTCGTGCGTCATATAACATTATCAGAGCAGGGAAGGTATCATCGTCACAACCAAATTCAAGCTAACGAGTCAAGAAAACTCATTTGCACCCTCTTCCTCATTCAATCTATCAATCAAGCACAAGTGATTCCAAGAAATTTTTGGGTTTGGGGAATTTATTCTTTCATAATTGTTGAGCCTACTTCCATTTGGAGGTAAAGTTTTTGGTGAAGAGATTCGAAGGTCGGTTCC